ATGATTGATCAGGGGTTAATGTGATGCCCGTTTGATTGAAAGATTATTGTTTTCTTGTGGTGCTCGGCATGGCGATAGATTTGATACCAACTTAGAGCCATGAATCATGTTTTTGAGCCATGAATCATGTTTTTAAGTCATGATCACAAAACTTGAATTTGCTTGAATCTTGAAAACTTTGGATCGATTGTGTGCTCTTTTCTTAATGTTTTTCTTTAGTTTCTTCACTGAATCATACTAAACATTCCGTCACGATCACGTTACAACAAACGCAGCTCGATTTCGTGTCTAGATGAAGATTTTGTCGTCTTGAGTTTTTTGTAAGACTCTTGAAATCCAGCTGCCGAAATTTACAACAGATTTGATGCCTCCTTCTGTGAAATCCAACTGTTCATCATTCACGGGGTTTGGACCAGAGATAGCCACGGACCTCACGTACATAATACAATTGGTTTCGTGCCAATCGGGTATACGAGCATCATGATTTGGCTGCTCGAGTGAAGCGTGCTACTGCTGAATTTTCTGTAATTTTCTTCACGAACCAGCAACTTCTCTCTAGTTTTCTCCCAGCTCGGGTATTGTCATGGGGCGTACCACATATCGAAACGCTCATCTTGATAAGACGAATATGCTCACAAAATTTGAGAGTGATCCGACTTGGAAAGAGTGAAATATATGCCTAGAAAGTCACTGCCCGTGACTGTAAAAACAACCACCTTTAATGGTGTTTTCGTGCAGGGTGGCCACAAGAGAATAATGTGCGACCTACCCCTTTAGGTATTTTACCCCTAACTTTGTCTTGGAGTGCTCGATTAAGTAGAAACTTGAGCCATAGGAGTTTTCGACCATGCCGGATTCAATGGAGATGGTCCCATAGTTGTTTAATGCACCAAAATATAGTTCTAGTTACATAGTTTATTTCAGGGTGCTAGAGGTCGATTTTACCGAAATTGTTTTTTTGTGTTCACTACCTTAGACATGTCTGATCGCGGTGAAACTTGGTAGGTGGCCTTTTGGCGTGCTGATGAAGACCTTGAATAATTCTATGGCCATTCCGAGACTATCGAAATTTCCATTATTTTGTAGGCTTTATTGTCCTGAGATGATTGTTTTGATATGTGATTTGCATGGTGTTGTGGAGTTTTGCTCAAGTTCTTGGAAACTTTCACTTTTCTAGCCAAACATGCAAACTTGAATTTTTCATTGCTAGATCTTGCCCAAAATGTCACTTCTTTGGTCTTCTTCTTGTTAACAAATTGAAGGGGAAGTCGTCGTTGTCATTTTTCATAAAAAAATCATACGGATTGGCCTCTAATTGACCATTTTGTGTTTTTTGGGAGTTGTAGGAAAGATGGTTTTCCCACAATCCAAAAATTGTACCTTCTTGTGAGCCTTTATTGGGTGCCTTTTCGTTCGTCATAGTTTGGCGTATTTTACCACAAATTGAAGACCTTGGAGTAACCATTGAAATGCCTTCATTTTTAGGTCCTTGGACCTCAGGAGTGAGTGAACCTACATACAAAAATCTACATAATACACTTTTCGTGAGCACTTCTCTCTAAGATTTCCCATGGCTCGGTGATTAGCTTTGAGCATGACATATGTCAAAATCTTCCTCTTGTCAAGGAGAATAACATACTAAAATTTGACCTCGATCCGACTTGTGGTCGATGAGATATGAGCTTTGCAAAACTGTCCTATTTTTTTTCAAAATGCTATAGTTTCTTACTATTTTTAGTAGTTGGTAATGTTGTTTGCACCTGAATAATAAGAAATCTACCGTTTTTTTAAGGAAACTAGGACCTAGAAAGATTTGTTTGACCTGAAAGTTGCTAGTTAAGGGTTTTGAGACGTTCTGAAGCTGTCTGTGGTGGTCTGGTAACCATCTGAGGTCATCTTCATGGAAGTTTAGCTATGTTAGAGCTTGCACATGTTAAAGCATCACACTTTAAACTGAATCTTCATCATGTTCCCTCATGCCTTTATTACGTTGGGGCAAAACTTGGGGATGGACTTTGGGATGCAAATGTCGCTCTTACACACTTTTTGGGGTCGAGATGACATAATTTCTATAGCTCTTCAAAATTTGGGTTATTCCATGCGAGCTTCTGTAGTTCATAGGTATATTTGGTACCTGGAGGCTATGCTTGCAACCCCAGAAGTGCATCAAGAATACCTGACAACAACTTAGCCTGTTGAATGTCACTCTTCGAGAGGTGTGAGAAGTGTGAAATTCGGAACAAAATCGCTCGAGTTCTTGTTTTGAATCCTTACAGAGGCATTGTTTTTCTCCCAATTTTGTTTCCTAGTTACCAGCATCAACATGACCTTTGGAAGAGGGTAAATCATGTCTAACCTGTCGATACAGGGGTAACTGGTGGGTGTTTTTTGTTCCAACAACTGACGGCCTTTTGGGGGCATGAATCTATCTTGTGAGAATCTGGCTTCGTTTGGCAATCATAGGGGGGGTGGAGGGGCTTCTTAAGGGTTTCCTTCCCAATCTGTCAGGGTTTAAGTAAGTATGGTGATGAGAGCCCTTTTGTGGAGCGTGAGCCCAATCATCAGGCTTCAATTTGATATGTTGCTGGGGGGCTTTGGGGCTTGAACCCAATCCAGTAGACGTTGATTTGGTTCTATAGTTAGGGGCCGTTATTGCGCATGTAACCTGCTTCACTAGGATTCAAATTGATTGAACAGTGAGGAGCCTCTTTTAGGGCTTGAACCCAATTTGTTAGAGCCTAGTCAAAGGCCTTGGGACATGAACCCAAGTTTGAGGCGTGTATGGCAGATGGAGCTTTATTATGGCGTAAGACCCATCTGGTCAAGATATTGATCTAGCTTGATAGTTGGTAGCCTTTTTGGGCGTGCACGCTGTCAGAGTGATTTTGTTTTGATTGGTGTTTTGGGGGAGAAACCTTTCAGAAGGTTGCTAGCCCGATTTGCAATCTTTTTTATTTTTCTGACATTCAAGAGCCCTTTGGGGGTTGACCAAAACTATTGGAGCTTTTCTTGAGCCCTTTTTTATTTAGCAATAGGGTGCCTTTTGAGGGCATGACTTCCCATGTTGCTGAGCTTTTGCATTTTGAGTCGATTGAAGTCACCTGTCATTGCAAGTGCTGCATCAACATGTTTATTGGTTCAAGTACCCTTTCGAGTTTTCACTTGAACTTGGTGGAATGATGCTGCAAAGCGGTTTCTAAACTTGGTGGAAGTGGTGCTGCAAAGCGGTTTTTACCAACTCCTTTTTTATTTGGCTCTTTTTCCCGTGATTATATGGTTACTCATGATGTTCATTATCAGACTTTCATCATGCCTGGTTTCTGTTTTTGGGCACTTTTACGTGCAGTTTCATGGCCACATCCGCCTCTATTTTCATTTTTGCGATAGTGTGTGGGAAGTGGATGATGAATAGTGGGGAGGTTTCCTTATTGGTGAGAGGGATGGAAGAGCAGACTCAAGGTGGTGGATGATTTGGTTTAATGGGGGTTTTGAATGAGAGATAGGAACAGTCGTGAATGATATGAAACGAGAATGCTCGTGGATGGACTAAAGTCCACATCACATTATGTATCGCTATAACCGAAGGATACTCTTAGCAAGGTAAAGAATTGGTTCCGGGGAGATTTACAAATCCCATGGAGACTAATTCCAGTTTTAAATTAACAATATTAGCAAATAATTAGTGCACTGCTGCAAGGAGAGCAACATGAAGCCGGATGCTCTTCTCAAAATCACGGTCTTAAGCCATAAATTTTGATTGAAGCGTATAGCTCTATTCACATTTTTTTACACGTAAATTTCGTGAGTCATCAAATCGAAGTTCCATGCTGTCATAAAAATGGCAATGGTATATAACTCATGGATTGGATACTACAATTGCAAACACGCAAAAATGAAGGAGAGCGTTTAAATTCACTCAAGCGTTATGCGAGCTCAACGAAGCTCGTCGCGCAAATCTTTACTACCAAACCCGCCCTAACGTGCCTCGTCAATGCTGTAGATAAGGGTGGCAGCCGAGCTAGCCTTACCCTTGGCTCAGCCTAGCATGGCCCTAGCTCAGCTAAGGTTGGGCTAGAAACAAATAATAAAATAATAAAATAAAAAATGGATAAAAAAAAAGGTACGGTTAGCATATAGATGCATCCGTAGCTGTAGAGGTAATGTGCACCTTTAAATTTTATCATGTTATATAATTTTGATGTAAAATGTTCTAAAGATTATCTCAAAATCTATTTTTATATTCAATTATAAAATTTTAAATTTTAAAAATGGCTAAAATCAAGTAGATCTATAAACATATGAAAATCTTGAAAATGAACGGTGTAGATAATATGTTTGTAAAATGCATTATTTTTGAGATTTAAAATCTTTTTATTTTTTCATAATCATACATTGCAATGTTGAGATGATCTTTTCAACATTTAAACTACCTTTTTCAATGGATTTTTTAGGTGCATACGTGGTTGTTGCATCTAAACTTTTTCCTAAAAAAAAGTACCGGATTGAGGTGAACTACCTATTCTAGCCCACGGGAACATTTAGTGGTTAGGCTCTATTTTTTTATAGCTGGGCGGATCGGGTCAGACAGATGCCCGGCTCCGATTGCTATCCCTAGTTTGTAGAAGATGCTTTTATACTACTTTAACTTTCCTTTTTCCTTTTCTTCCATTTTAAAAATCAAAATTTCTTTAGTGTGGTGTGGGGAAGTTTCTTAGCAGTTTCATTTGTAGTGTAGCGCATACGTATAGTGATGCAGTAAGTGTAGGCAGTCCTCCTCACATAGCATGAAGAGCGTACAATATGGTTCTGACGACCCCTCACATGGACTCGCTGCCCTTTTAAGAGAAAAGGACACAAATGCCCCTTTAAATTCATCAAAGTGAAATATATAACAAGTAGCATTTAAAGAAACAATGGGGCACTTGTGGGACTATGTTTCTGCATCGACTGCGTATAAAGTCCAGTGATTCTGCAATATTCATTAAAAAAAGCGAAGTAAAAGATTTTGAAAGGGTAAAAGAAAAGAAGAGAAAAGAAGCAGTAGTGTCAAAAAAGAAAAACACAAAAAAGCTTACCGCGCATTCCGTTAACCCGCGTCTGCAAAACCATCATTAAAATCTCTCCTCCGGCTCTGGCTTTCCCAACAATGGAAGCATTCAGCATGCTCAGATACTGGAAAGGTGGAGGCGGAGCCGCCGCCTCCGCCTCCGCCTCCATCACAACCATCAGCTGTATGCCCCAGACGGCGCCTCCATCTCAGTCTCTGCAAACAGAGGAGTCTTCCACTGATGAGGACGAGGGTCCCTTTTTCGATTTGGAACTAGCATTGCCCGATGAAGATGACAGTGAACAAGAAGAAGAACAAGAAGATGAGGGATCTGATAATGAGATCAAGGAGTTCGGGTTCACTCTTGGGGACTGCGGCTCATCGGGCCAGTTGGATTCTGGCCTCTCTCCAGCAGGAGAAGCAGCAGAGGACCTCTTCATCAAGGGCCACCTGCTACATCTCGGTTCCGAGAACAACAACCAAAGGCCACTGCAGTTCCCTGTCTCTCTTCTAAAATCGGCTACCAAGTTCAGGGTGTTTATGCTAGGGTTCAAGAAGCCAACAGCAAAGCAATCAGAGCAGGCTGACTCCTCCTCCTCGTCGTCACAGAAGCAGCTGAGCAAACTATTTACAGTGAAGTTCAAGGTGGAGGAGGTGCCCCTTGTGTCGTTGTTCACAAGAGACAGTTCGAGGGGATCAAGCAAGCAAGCGGCAGTGCCAGCAGCGGCTGAGGCTAATGGTTCTTCTTTGGAAGAGGAGGGATCAGGTGGTTTGTCGGACAAGGAAGCAAAGCGAGCTAAGGACGTGGTACAAAAGTATCTAAAGATGATAAAGCCTTTTTATGTTAGGGTTTCAAAGAGATACGGCGAAAAGCTTGGGTTTTCAGGCCAGTTGAGTCCTGGAAAGGCAGCTTCAGTGGTGGGAGAGGAAGAAATGGAGGTTAATAGTTGTGGTGAGAGAGAAGCAGCCGCTCCACCTCCACCTCCACCTCTAGTGGTTTCCGGACAAAATGCAAAGACAAGCGGTTTTCCAGGGGGTTTTAGGATCGTTTACAAGCATTTGGGGAAGAGCCGCTCGGCAAATAGTGCCGTGGGTCAGACTGTACATTCGCAGAGGAGAGATGACTCGTTGCTGCAGCAGCAGGACGGCATTCAAGGTGCCATTGCCCACTGTAAAAGGTCGTTCAAATCTTCTAAAGGTACTCGATCTCGCCTCTCATTTCACTATTATTGCTTCTCTCTTTCTCTCATCAGCATGATCATCTCTTCCCGCTTTTGCCACCTATAGAGCTCTCTTCACAGTCTCTGTTCCGAGCATTTCTCATCTTTACCATTTTTCGGCATTATTTCAGAGGCAGGAGAGTCCGACTGTTGCGATTCTGTCTTGGATGATCTTTCACTTTGTATGCCTTCTCAGAAACAGCACGGCGTTTGTTAATGGCGTTTCAGGTGACGAAATTAGAAGAAGCCACAAATTACTAATGGATCATACGAAGGCAGACAGGGTTAATGAGTCTTCCAAATGGTTTTATAAAAAAAGATGTCTGATGAGTGAAGACAATAGCAGTGCTTATGATTTTAGTTTGTAAATATTTGGCATAAATAGTTCGTTCGATGCTAAAAAAAACCGTGTTAACTCTGCAAGGTTTTTCCTGTAAAGGATGGTGTTACGACTATGGAAATGTGGCATTACTGTGAAAAAGGTCGCCACTTTTTTAGCGGGCCGCCTACATGACAAAAATTATTAGATATTAAAAAAGTGAATATATGGATATAAATGTGTTTTCTTTGTCTTGTTCGAAAAAGATTTAAATTTAAAGAGGAATAGGCAGGGGCCCTAGAGAGAGATGCCCAACTCCTGCTTTCCGTATTCCTTTTCTCTCTTCGCTGCGTGGGTCGTCTGAGCTTTTTTATTTTTTTTCGATAAAGTAGGGACAAGAGACGCCGAATTTAGAGAGAGAGGGAATCAGGGTCTGTCTCTCTCAGCCTCGTAATGCGTAAAGTCAGTGATGGATGGCTTGGTGTGTGTTGAAAGACGTGGAGTATGGGGGTGCATTTCGCCTGCATCCTCAGTTCAGTGAACGTATATATCTACGGGTCTCTTAACTTATTCTCCATTGCTGAACAAGTTTCGTGTTTGATGCACACGAAACTTATTCCCCTTCGAACTTCCTTGGCTTCTTTGGGTAGGTTGTTAGTTAATTTTTTATTTGTATTATGTTATATTATTTTATATATATATTATATAATACAAGTAAATATTAATAAAATAATATAAACTACACTATATCATATATTAT